AATGTTCAAAAGCATGAGAGAGCAAGTTCACAGCTGACATGAAGACGGATGGAGTTGTGCTACAATCTCTGGACACTAAGCATGGAAAAATGCTTTTGTGACATTGACATGGTACAGTGGTTATTATAGCCACCTCTTTTATCCTTCAGGAAATGCAAATAGAAATTCCATAGAAGGTTCCTTGTTCTCTAATACTTTGACAGAAAGTTACATATTCCAGCATAGGTGTTTGTTTCTTGGGGCTTCATCTCCTTCCAGATCTTCCAGAGATTATGAAAGTTGCCTTCTTTTGTAATTTGGGCCTGACTGATTGGCAAGTAGGATTTTAGCTCAGTGGGATTTCTCAGAGGAGTGATCACTTATGTAAAAAAAAAAAAAATTAGAAAATACCATTAAAAGCATTGAAGACAAAGGTCCTACAGTGAATTTGGATGAACTGAAGAAAATGAGCCTAGGGATAGAGTAGAACTGTACAAATAGGGAAATCTAAATGGATGAAAATTATAAACTGCATCAGCTCTGACAAGGAATACAAGGGTAAAAGAGTGCCTAGTTACCTGGTCCAAGAGTATTAGATGCTGTTTTCATCCTTATTGGTCTCTCTTCCTAAATTCTAAACACCTAATTTGTCATTATAATTCATCTCTCAAGATATAGCCATAACCCCCACCAACACCACCACCACTACGACCAAGTTAGTGTTTTGTTCTAGACACTCACACTTACTCTTCTCTTTCGCCCATCCAAGTGATGGCTGAGTTTGTGAGACCAAGCAGCCCACAGGACACACCACACGTCCCTGCCCCTTTGTAAGTGTCCTGATGTAACCATCCAACCAAACAAGCATCTAATACATCTATATACATCTATAGATGTATATATATGTATACATCTATATATATAGATGTATATCTATATAGATTGCATATATATACAATCTATATAGATTGTATCTATATACAATTCACAACTTAGCCTAACTCACATCACTTCAGGAGCTTTACCACTGAACAAAAATCATAAATGTCACTGATGCCCAGATAAGATGTTTGTGTTTTCTTCTCTCTACAATTTCCATCATGGAAACTTAGCCTTAAGAAACAGATATAACCCAATAGGCTTTGTTCTGGTTGTTGATGTTAAGTAAACATGAGATGGCAGTCTAGAATCAGTTTTTATCTCCTATTGAAGAATGGTCATGTTTCTATTTCCTGTCTTTAGACATTTCCCAAGTACTTCTCAGTTCTTTCCAATGCCCCAAAATTTAGTTTATTTCCTAAATTTACATCCTTGAGAACTATGACTTTGAAAGCAATACATAATTCATGATAAAAATTTTCCCTATATTTACTTTTGTTTTGAGCAAGCAGACCCCTGGATTGTAACATGAATATATAATTGTTGTCGCTTCAATTCTGAATACTGTACTTGTCACAAACACTGGAAGAATTCATGTTTAAAAATAAAATAATGCTCAGAACTTCAAAGACGGAAACTGGTAGGCTGTGTCTTTCAAAGACCCTTCTTACCCTACCAGCTTTATTAGACCAACAGAGACACACAGTCACTGAAAAAGAGGTTTTCAAGTTAATAAAATTTATAGCACCAGGAGATATTAGACCCTCCTGGATTAGGTGGGTGGAGGTCACAGAGGTCTGGGCAGAGGTCAGGGAGGTCTGGGCGGAGGTCATAAGATTGTCTTCCCTGGAGACGGGAAGGACTACAATTGAACAGCAATTGCCTGAAGCTAAATGGCACCCTTTAAAAGCTCTGTATTTCTGCTTATTAGTAGGACAATGGCATTATAGACAGAAGTCTCCATCCTCCTCATTTGCCAATTATTAATAATAAACTCCTCTTTCCTTCTCCTCAAAAAAAAAAAAAAGATATTAGAAAGGAGGCTAAGGGACTAAGGTAAAACCATATATGCAACAGGTAAAGTCACACTGGCTCCAGATACTACTCCTCAGAGTGCTTTCGTAGACTTTACATAATGGGAAGGGTCTATTATAGCCACATCCTTTATCCTTAAGCTACAAACTTCTTACAGAGCTTCATCGTTCAGGTTTTTGTATGTCCGGCACTTGCAAGGGAGGCTCTTCCTTGAAAATTGCTAGAAACTTGGCTGGAACATTGTAATAGTTCATATTTGTATAAATTTAACAGCTCTAAATCAGAGTGAATTATAAAAGACATTTTTACTAATATTTCTAGTCATGCACTGTCTTCTCATGTTCCTTCAATAAGAAAACTCACTAGTGTTTTCTTCTAGAGTAGAATTTTAGGTATTATTTTTTTAAATAACAGGACCTTTCCCCCAGTGAACCTAAGACGGAACTGGGAAATAAACTATTGGGGTTAAAGAAATGAGGATTTTTTTTAAGACAGCCATACGCAAAGCTCCTGAGTTTGAATTACAAAGGTGAATATACAAGAGGGCACAGTCAACTGTACTGCTAGAAACCACTGCCCCCTTTCCAATTCCCCCAAAACACAGGAACCCTCAAAGAGCACACTGACAACTCTACATTACAGATGTCACTTTTGCTTTCCCTTCCTGTGTTTAGGGGTCATGGTAGCTGAGAAGTGTTACTCGTGTGATATATGTAAATACATTACAGATGTCACTTTTGCTTTCCCTTCCTGTGTTTAGGGGTCATGGTAGCTGAGAAGTGTTACTCGAGTGATATATGTAAATACCTTCCTGCATGCATTAGCATCCAGGTAACTTAAAGTTTATATACCATTGCCACCAGGAGGAACCACATTATGAAGAGGTGAACCTAGCCCACCAGTCCTGTAATAAATGCCTACAGAATGAATAGTGGAATTTTAAAGGGACCTTAGAGATTATCTAGTCCAACCATTCAACTTGGCCAAAGTCACACTGTTGGCAGAAATAAGAGTCAAGGTCTGTAATCTCAGTACCAGGATATTTTCACTAGTATAAACTGATTTACCCATCAACTAAAGAGACGAAATTTTCTCCTCTGCCCTTTATTTTCACTCCTAAATACCACTCCAGCACCTGATATCAATTTATTCAGTCTTTTTGCTTGGGGATTTTTCCAGAGAGATTAATTACCTCAACGAAATCCATAGTGAACACTTTGCTGTCTATCCTTCCTTTGTAGAGGTTCTCTTGAGTTTGACTTCACGGTACAAACCATTCAGTTATGTCCACTTCTTCTCAGTGTCCTCTGGTCTCCCAGAAGCCCTCTTACTGTGGGTGTTCCCAAAACTCCAACTTCTCCTCTGCTCTTCAGTCTGCAACCTGTCTGTGACCCATAACTTTAGCCCTAATGTCTCCGAGCTCCAGACTCATGTCTATAGGTATTTCCTGGATATTTCTATGTCCTTATCTCCTCAAACTTTGATGCCCCCCCCCAAAATCATCTCTCTTTCTGCACATTTTGCTCAACTTCCTAAGAGTATCATCACATCTCCATGCATGCAAGTTCAGAACTTTAGTCATCTGATTCTTCTATTTTCGCCCAGTCTTACTGACTTTTTAAAAGAATTCTTTGTGCTCCTTTTTGAACTCATCTATCTTTTGGTTCCCACAAAAACCACTATAAACTAAATTTTCCTCAGCCTCTCAGCCAGTCTCCCTATCTCCAACTCCTTCTTTATTAAACATCTACTTCACCATGTTAACCTGTTGTTCAAAAAAAACTGTCAGTTTTCTTAATTAGGACCTTCTTCTCTAACCAGGTGGGTCTATTCACTATTTTTCCATATATTTTCTCATTCCTATGTCTGCCCACCCACAATCAATCCCACAGCTAGAATATACACGTTCCTGTCACCTGTCCAAATCCCAACTGCCTTCAGTGGTGGTTCAAGTACAGTCTTCTCCATGAAGCCTTCTCTTTCTGGTCTCCAATTCACTGCCTATGTGCCACTTCTTTTGGTATTCAACTTCCAACTAGTTTATATATTAACTCTCTAAATATATATGTTTTGTCCTCTTAGTGTGGTCATAGGAACCAAATTTTATGTGTCTTTGGTACTTCTGAAACTATCCCAATAATTATATTACATTATGAAAAAATGAGGCATGGTCATTAAAAGAACATTAGGGGTAGAAAATACTGAGTTCAGATTCTGGCTTTGTTCCTTTCTAGCTAGGTGATCTTAGGCAAGTTACTTAACCTCTACAAACTTTGATACCTATAAAATAGAGATAAGACCAGCTACTGCATAGTGCTGTTGTACAATTTAGCTGAATGTATATGTGCATACACATAATGTTTAACATGATATCTGGTATACAGGAAGTGCTTTTTTTAACAGATGGCTGTTATGATTTTGCAGATAACAGACACTCCTCTTTGGTTAATATTTTAAACTATGAAGGTCATGCTAAATATTTCTTCATACCATGCCATCAAGATTCCATTTCACATGAAGTTTTATACCCCTGATCACCATATTTAGTCAAAAATTACTTTTCTAAGCCATATATTCCAAAAGGATAGAAAAGATAACTTTCAATCCTCAAGCTGTGCCCAGTAGACAAAACCTGGTGTATAAAACTCTGTGCAGTTTCATCCACACACAAAACCCATTCAGGCGTGATTTTCAGCAACTGCCATTTTGATAATGGGGTTAAAGCAAAACTAAAGAATTCTCTGGGAAGGCTAGCAAAGTTTCCAAACAGCCAAGTCAATAGATAAAGATTTTGTGACATAGGATTGCTAGAGCCTGTCAAAAACTGGAGCTCAATGATTAGTGACCGTAGCCAGCTTTTGCTCTGAAGCAAGGTGTAAGATTTCCTTCCACCAACAAGGCTATTATTACCCAGTCCATCAGTGGCTTTTAAAAACACAGTGTAAATGCTGCAATACAGTACATTAAAAACCAATGTCCTGGCCTTTTTTGGCTGGGGTGATTCTTTTTTCCACCCCCCAGTGAAACAGAGTCTTTTCTCTTTTATGCACAGGTCACAACTTTTCCCAGGTGAAATCATACTGTATTTAAAAAATCAGATACTACACCTCCACAAAGGTGACTGGAACTTTCCGCCAGGAATATCTATGATCTCCCAAGGGAGGCTGCATCTGTGTGAAGAAAGTCAAAGCCATTGTCTCCCTCTGCCACACCTTGGAGCCTTGGACCTCCCACAGCACTGAGCAGCCACAGGGCAAACCTCTCCCTACACCACTGCCCAAGCTGCTCCCCGTCCAAGACCCCGGCCTCATCATTTCTGCACCCTTAGGCAGGGAAATTGCATCTTACCGCAGATGTTAGACGAGCAAGAATTTCATCACTGCTTTCTTCAGGGTCTTCAATTTTCTGATGAGACCTTTGGAAAAACAAAGAAGAAATTACTCTTCAGCTTTGGTCTCTCAAACTTATCTACCATGGTAGGGGGAATAAAGGCCAAATAACGGCATTGTTATTACATTATATTAATGAAAGTACTCATGCAAATACTATTGTATCAGTAATGCCATAGGAACACAACCCTGTTGCAGGTCAATTGTTCCTTCAAAACCAATTAGCAAGAAGCTCTACACAACGCACCAATTGAATGCTTAGGATGGAGTGATGTTCTCCAAGTGATATAACAGAATAATCCTGACACACCGGATTTGCATATATGGACATGCATGCAGTAGATGCTAATATAAGATGAAAATATGAAATGTGAATTTACCTTTACAATTATGTTTCAGCCAAAATAAATGTACTCTAAAATGGTATATTATGTTACAGGCCTAATACTATGATGGGAATTATGAGGAATACGGAAGGCAGAAGAACTCTGCTTTTTTAAGAGATGGTAGCCCAGTTGAGAAGCCAACGAAATGATGCATATGTTAAATAACTAACAAGCCATGTAACAGTGAAAGATCACTTTGTTTAGGAAAAAAAAATCATCGTTTTAACTTAATTCACAAATAAAATCTTCACCATCCAAATGTATGTGTTAAACATATAAAAGTATCTACTTCTTAAGAAAAATCTTATAAACTACATTTTTTTCCCCAGTGTGGTAAAAAAAAAAAAAATTTTGACTAACACAGACTGAATACATAAAATTATCTCCCAGATCTATTTCCACAAGCAATCCCTTTCAATACATTCTGCGGCTGTGGAGGGATTCGAGGTAATTGCCCCGTGGAGCAATGTTATCAGAATCACAGTCCAGTGATTGATTTCAATCTCGGGAGCCACGGTGGGGCAGCTGGAACGCCCTCCTTGAGGGGCAGGAGGGCCTCTCCCCGCCCACAAGAGAGCTAAGAAGAAGCTCTTTAGGAAGGGAAAAGCTGGTCGGATCAATTCTGGCATTGGCTTCTTGTTTCTGTAAATGTTATTAAACCCTTTTCCAGGAAAAAAGTCACACCCTTCAAATCACAGCAATGAATTACAAAGCACTGCCTTTGTAAGAATTGCAACATACAGGCATGAAGCAGGGCCGATGTTGTCAAATAACTTAAGTACTCGGTGCAGCAAAGGGTTTGACGTGCTTGCTCACAATCTGCCCGATGAAAACAGTAAGAAGTGAGCATCATAACAGCATACTTTTCTTTAAAGTTACCTGGATGAGTATTTCAAACAATAGGCTTTATTATTAAAATGCCCTGTGCACAAAGTTTCCATATAAATGAAGTTATACTGACAAAAGAGATTTGAAAACCCTTTACAACCTAAGCCACCCAGCCAGGTTTAGATGATTAAGCTGAGGTGACTGAACAGATCTGACAGGAAATTAAGAGCCAAACCCACCAGAGACGAGAGCACCAAACAAGGGCTTCTGCTGCTGCGTCTGTCTCTGCAGTGAAGCGTGGGCTGGTCGTGCCTTTTCATGTCTCTCAGACCCCACAGATGCCTGAAGTATTAGTTAATGGGCAGGAGGTATTTTGCATTAGCACAGATTCTGTCATGAATCTGTTTGCAATAAGCTGCTGAAAGGAACTCCAAATTCCAAGGGAAGCTCTTGTGTACATGACTGATAATGGCTGCTTCATGAGTAACAGCTGAACTGCTGCTGTTTTAGTGACAAATAACGTAGTCCCCGTTCGAAAGCCAAACTATCTTTCATCATCCTTCCAGCACAAAGCATGCCAAGGCAAAAACGTTGCTTAAGGAAATATGTGTAAGAGACAGAGTGGTGATCTCCTGGGAGCTGTCCCCAAGCCCATATTCCACGTTTATCACCTCAATCACCAGGATTTTCAACCAGAACTCCCACGTCTTTCGCTAGCTTCTGAATCTCCCCTGAGCCTGCAGTGTTTTTCCATCCGCCTGCAAAGCGGCTTTAGGTGGCAATTCAAGGAACTTCACTGTCACCCACCTGAGAATCTTACTCCTCCTGCCTCCTGCCCTCACCTCTTGGGACTCACAGGTCCCACTCACCCTGTGGCCATTCCTTCCCTCCTCACTGCCTGCCTCTGCTCAGTGCCCAGGGTCTCTGACAGAGAGGCTTGGCAGGAAGGGAAGGGAAGTGACTTTGCTTGAACACATTATTTTAACCCATTTCCTTGCCTCTGGTTTCTCTTCTTCTAATCTAATCTCCCACAGACGCCAGGATTACCTTTCTAAAACCTAGATCTGTTCTTGCTATTCCCCAGACTCTCGACCTTCAGGGAGTATCCCAGCTGCCCACTGAAAGTTCTGGAATTCAGAAATACCCTTCCTTCCCTGCCAACACACTCCATGTGCCCCTGCACCAGCAGACACCTGCACCTCACCTGGCATAAAGGAAAGGTCACGGGAGCAGGACTGGGGGGAACAGGCAGAGCCTGAAAAGGGAGAAGGAAGAGAGAAGGCGGCACTCAGACTCTCTTCTTCCTCCCTTACTACTGTGGTCGCTTTTTCCCTTAAACCCTCTCCCCAGCTCTAGGCCCAAATACTCAGAAATACCAGACTCTCTTGCCCCAGCAAATGTGTTTTTTACAGGATGTAAATAAATTCTGATTTTATCCATATAAATACACATCAGTGCAACCCAGGAAAGACAAAGGTCTCACTTAATGGGTCAAAATAGATAATGAAACAGAAGCAGCGGAGGAGAATCAAGGGTGACACTGGCATATTTTCCGTTACTACTAAAGGGGGCGGTGCTGCTGCTCAGTGAACAGAGGGGAAGACAGTGGCTGCCCTCTGGTTTGCTAGTGGTTGGAGAAGGGAAACAAAGAAACTCTAGCTGGAATCAGCAGGTGATGACAGTGACAAGTGACATAAGACAGAAAGAGAAGAGAAAGGGAGTGAGCCCAGGAGGGAAGATCCATCCCTGAGGGTTTATGCCAACAGGCGCTCCACTTTAGGAATTCCCAGGCTTACTTCTCAATGTCTCTGCTTACCGACAGCCCAAGGCAGACCTGGTAATTCTCCAGGGGAAAGTGCCCGGTCCCAGTGACGCAGGCAGATGTCTCTGTAAGTTTGAGAGGTGTGTAACATCTGAGGGTGCCATTTGAGGATGTAGGGATGGCAAAAGCCTATGGGCCTCTGCTCTTGTCCCTCTAACCATCAAACTGGACATATTATCATTCTACTCACCCCCTACCCAAAAAGAAAATCACAAAACAGAAAACCCTGCCCTTCCTACAGTCTTCCTTATCTTATTTGATGGCAACTGCACCCTTCCAGTTGGAAGTCAACCTTCACCCCCCCCCCCCCAAAAACCAACCTGGCCCCAACCCGAAAACCTAACGGCCCCTCCCTCAAAGCAAAACCGCCCCCCGAACAACCCCCAACAACTCCAACAACAACAACGCCGGACCCAAAAAAACAACCCCCAACCGAAACCCGGAACCAACCGGGGTCCGCCGAAAAGGAAAGTAAGGCAAAACCCCCCGCCCAAAAACCCCCCCCCCCCTTTTTTTGAGACAGAGTCTTGCTCTGTTGCCCTGGGCTAGAGTGCCATGGCATCATCATTCCTCACAGCAACCTCCAACTCCTGGACTCAAGCAATCCTCTTGCCTCAGCCTCCCGAGTAGCTGGGACTACAGGCTCATTCACGGCACCATGCCAGGCTAATATTTTTCTCTACATATTTTTAGTTGGCCAATTAATTTCTTTTTATTTTAAGTAGAGACGGGGTCTCGCTCTTGCTCAGGCTGGTCTCCAACTCCTGACCTCAAGCCATCCTCCCACCCCAGCTTCCTGGAGTGATAGGATTATAAGTGTGAGCTGCTGTGCCCAGCCTACTCAAAATCTTTGAATGACTTTCCATCTCATAAAGCCAGAGTCTTTTTCATTTAAAAATAATTAATGAATAAAGATTTTATATATTCATATAAAACATACAACACAATGATCTATGTATATATTGTGTAATGACTATCACAATCAAATTAGTTAACACATCCATCACCACTCACACTGTACATTAGATCTACAGGACTTGTTCATCTTATAAATGAAAGTTTGTACCCTTTGATCAACATCTTCCCATTCCTCCTACCGAAAACATCTATATCTTGGGCAGGTCTGTTTTGCTTAATAAAGCAAATTCTTAAGAAAAAAAGAAAAAGTGGGATGGTAGATGAATGAGAATTAGATTTTTTCTTGAGATCTTTAATATCATAAATACAAACACCTGCTTAGCTTCTCAAGAGAAGATAAATAATCAGACTACTAGTCATGCTTATAGAGGAAATTTACCAAATGGCAGTAAATTGTGACAGGTTTTATTAAGTGTTCAGGGTATATAGTTATGGATTAATCTAAAACTGAATAAAATTAGGTATTACTGAATGATACTCTCTCACTTAATTTTGAGGATTTGAAGATTAATGCTTAATATTTAATTAAACAGCTGCATTTCAAATGCTAATACAAGCAGGCCTAGAAGTTCAATTTTTGCTAAAACCCCTCTACTACTCTTAACTAGAGAGAAACCCTAATAAAAAATATGCAATCTATTCCTATACTAGGAATAAACCTTGCCTATAAACAATGGAAATTTTGGAGAACTATTTCTTTGGGAGAGGGGGTAATGAGTAATAATAAAGACTAAGACTGGCTGATTTCATAAGTTTTTTTACAAAAACAGTTTAAAGTGATAAATGGAAATTTCCTTCACCTATGATCCTAACACAAAACTTATGCCAAGTGCCATCATAAAAAATTGTTTTGAGAAATACTCAAAGAATTTTTGTTCACTCAAACAGTATTTCCTCCTCTCCAAGTGTCATGAGAATCTAATTAGGAAAATCAGAAGTGCAAAGGGTGGTTTGGAACATAAAAATGGCGGACTTGAACTTGAGCTCCCCAATCAGAGGGTGTTAATCCAGCACCATTTCAGAAACTAAGGATGCCAATGGATGTCTCACGTTGCTTACACATGTCTGGTGG